TGTTGACAACTCTTTCAAATAGATTGACAACAATGTTATATATATTGATAGCAAAATTCATTATAAGGCAAATCAATTGGAAAACTTAGGCAAATCACAAGTTGCCTCCTTATCCGATGTGTTGACAACTCTTTCATATCGAGTGACAATACCATTATATAAATGGACTACACTAACTTGCTTTATGCATTATCTTTCTTTTTATCAATTTATCAAGGGCAAACTTATCTTTTCCCAACATTTAGAAATACTAAATTAATACCTCTGTTTTGATATAGACTTTTGATTTTCACTAAAATTAATATAAAATTTTGTATATTTAAAAGTATTTTCTTGTTTTTTTCCCTTTAAAAAAAAAGAGCTAAGTGCAAGAGTGTCTCAGCAAGCAAACATATTTATCATCATTTAAAAAAACCTTGAATTCGCTATAAATGCTACCAGCATTAATTTGAATTGTAAAATGATCAAAATGTCCTTACAAGTATTATTACATATTTTACAAAGAAAAAATACATAGATCATTTACTTAAATTTATTATGTTAAGTTCTTTAATCACACGTGATCGTGTGTTATAATTTTTTTCAAGCAGTTTTATAATTAATAGTACTATTTTGAAAATAAGATAAATGGACATACGTGATCAATCAACTTGGCATAATGAATATAAAATATAAACTTGTTGTAAGTATTGTCCTTTTACCCCAAAAAAAAAACTTGCTTACTTTACAGATTGTGTTCGCTGATTTTAAACAAGGTTATAGTGTAAATTTACTTTGAAAGTTTTCACTTAAGACCAATATTGTCCCAAAAGTTTTGTTAGGTTGAATAATGCTGCGTCCTAAAAGTTTCAAAAAGTAGCAATATCGTCCCACTCCCATTAAAAAAAAAAAAACTAACGTTGACCATTAAAATATTAATATCAACCATTAACAATTCTAATAGTAAGAGGCAACATTGTGCCATTATTAACACTTCTTGGTGACTTTGAACCCACAAAAAATGAGGAAAAACATTGATCAGAAGTAAGGGTGAGTATTTAGATTTTCGGTTTGGTTTTTGGTGATAATCTTATTAACCGAATAATCAAATAACCGAATAGACTGAATTTTTAACACCTAACCAAAACCAATTAACTAAACTAACTGAACTTGAATTAACCAAAATATTTCGATTTGGCTAACTGATTAATCGAAATATATAAATATAAAAAATGATTTTAAATTAAAAATAATAAACAACACAATTATAACCATTAATTAATAAATATCTCATCATTCAATGTGATTTATTATAACCATATTTATTGAATATAAATATATTTAAAGAGTTCACATATACCCACATATATATTTATTATAATAATATTTATTAAATATAAATATATAATATATTTATTTCAGTTTTTTTATTATAACCAAATTTTTTTCTACTAACCAAACTGAACACCGAAACTAAATTGTTAAAAAATAAAAATCGAATATGTAATCAAAAACTGAAATAACCGAACAGAAAAACTGAAGTTAAATTCTTTGGTTCTTTTAATTACAGTTTGGTTTTACACCCCTAATCAGAAGTGAACAACTTTCAGAATAAATTCACATTTTAATCGTTCAAAAGATCAGGTTTTGGGCAAAATTGAAACACATCGTTCTGGAAAAAAAAATGCACTTGCATAATTTACAAGAACACTTGCGTTCGTAACTGTTTTTTTGCTTCCTCAGTTTTAGTGCTCAAGTTTCTAAATGGATAGAACATCTATATATATATATATATATATATGTATCTATGTATATGTACTTACCATGCCCAAGGCTAATTATTTAAAGCGCAAATTTATCAGTAGACCTCAAGATCTAAACGTGAAAAAATGAAATGCATGTAAATATATGACATCTATAAATGAGAGTTATCAGTAAACTAAAAGGATTATAAAGATGGGTGTTTAGATTAGTTTTTTGAAAATAGTTTAATGTTATACAAAATAAGTATATAAGAGGAATTTTGTCTAAATTTACGTAAAAGTATATTTTTAAGTGATTTTGAGTTTTCCAAACTCTAAAAGGCTCGTTGGAGCCAACGAAAACTTTAAGAGCTCGTTTGTGACACGTTATGTCACCAAAACGTATTGGCGGTGGGGCTTAAGCGTTTGGGTGAAAAGCCAAGATAAGCTTTAAGCATAAATTTGATGATTATGGCTTTTGAAACATGAAAAGAGAAGAAGTAGAAGAAAAAAAAAGTTGGCTCTCCTTTTTAAGAAATGTATCATAAATCGCATCGTACCATCTTGCTTATATCCAAATTTATACTCTCTCTGATTCAAAATATAAGTATCAAATTTTTGAAGAGGCTTGCTTTTTTTTATAAGCTACAAATTGGATTTATCTTATCATTTAATGCATTTTTTTCATTTTACCCCTAATTAATTATGTCTCTCTCATGTCTTTTTTCACTTATTCTCTCTCATCCCTTTTTTTACTTACTCTCTCTCCTACTTAGTCTCAATTTAAAAAAAATGGTGTTTTAGAAAAATAAGTTATACTTTTTACATCTTTAACTAATTTTAACTAACTTTTTGAATCACCCGATTTAGTTATTTGATGTTTATATTTTGAACTAGATGAAGTACTATGTAAATTTATTATTATTTTTCATATTCCTATTATAGTTGTCATATTATGTACATACTAAAATTCAAGCTTTTTTCAGTTCATTTTACAACTAAACTTGATTTTTCAATAATAATCCAAACAATTCTATTTTTATGAACTTACTTATTTACAAAGGTCAATCTAAACATCAATTACATTACTCAATCTAACTTTTACCTAATCTTAAGTTTTCAAAAGCTCAATTGAAAATAAGCCACTCTATAGCCAATTCAAACAAGCCTAGGAAGATTTTAATTTTGGATTATTGATAAACTGCATGCCTAATATGACAAAACACTGTATCTTTTCAAATGGTTTGTTATTAACTATTTCATGTTATAAAACACAAAAGAGAAATTTTTTTAGTATTATTTCAAAACCAAACCCAGCAGTCCTTAAAGCCTTACTCCTTCCCTCTAGTTCTTTTCTTAAATTTTTTTTTCTTTTTTATAATACCCGTTGATAATTTGAGTATTAAAATTTGTTTGTAGATGCCCATATTTAATACTGAGTGGTGAGGAAATATAAATTAATATAATGTTGAAATTCAGCGTAATTAATGAGGAGAAAAAATAAAAAATCACTTGAATTTTATAACAAATTTAATACTTTTATTTGTGTTTATTTGTACCTGTGAATTAGTTAGTTGATTTTTATAATAAGGTCTATAGAGAGTACCACTTTCCGCCCCCTTTCTCGTTTTTTTTTTTTTTTGGTGGCTAAAAGCCTAAGACACATATCCTACTAGTCTTTTGTTAGTTTGGCAGACCCATTGTTGTTGACATCACACTACGTACGCCTTTATAAAGAAAGCAGATTTTGCCATTGAAATTTATCTCCGACAAGCCAATCCAAGAAGAAGAAAAGAAAATGGAGGAAGCTGCACAAGAGAATGGACATTCGATGATCAGTCCTACCATCTCTCAGTTCAACGGAGCGGATGACGCCGACATGGATAAAGTCATTGATCACTATGTCGACCGTATGTCTCACACAAGAGATCATTTCTTAGGTAATTTGTTATTTCGCTTTAATTTAAATGTTCTTAATTTGGTTTAATCTTTATATGATCAAGTGATTTAAAATTCGCGTCAACATCCCATAAAACAATAATTAGGCTTTGTCCATATATGTTTCGTGGCCGGTCTCACGCCCGATTAAAACCCTATCAAATCTCTCTCATGAACATCTGTATAAGTCAAAATTATTCAAAGAAGAAGAAATATCAACCATTACTAGTTTGAGTTTCTAATTCTAGTTTTAACTGTCTGTACGCAGGTTATCCAACCAATCTAGACTTCAACTACGATGCACTGGGAAAGTTACTACGTTTCCACTTGAACAACGCTGGTGATCCATTTATAGGCAGCGGTTATTCACTTAACTCAAACCCATTTGAGCTGTGCGTACTTCATTGGTTTGCTGAACTGTGGAAAATAGAGAAGAATGAGTACTGGGGATATATTACGACTGGTGGAACTGAAGGAAATTTTCACGGCATCTTAGTTGGGTAACGTACTAGATTTTTGAGAAGTAAAGCGACGATTCTAAGGGGAAAAAACAATAAAATATCCTGAAAATTACTAAATAACAAATAATTGTGGGTGAATTTTAAAACTATAAATCAAACCTCCTGTACTATTTTGAAATTTTTAAATCTCACGAACTGAAGCATATGCTGTTCACCTTTCTTTTTCTCTTTTTCTCTTATGGAAATATTGCGACCTCAGCACCCTTAGCAGGGTTCCAGCTGCCAGAACTCCAGCAACATGTCACCAAAACTTTGGTGATTGATTGTTGGTGTTCTAGTGACTATTCTTTCTTATGTCTTGAATACTATTTTGAAGCTACTAAGTTTGTTTTTAAAACTCTAATGACTACTTTTATTTAAGTATTGACTATTCTAATATTTCGATTGAATACTTTCATTTTTAAAAATCTAGTAACTACTTTTGCTAAGTTATTGATTACTCTTGCTTTACTATGGACTACTTTTGTTTCAAAAATTCAAAACATGCATCAAGTGTTGTTGGATATCTAGTAAATATTTTTGTTTAGTTATTTACTACTCTTGTATAGTTAATAGCTATACAAAAATAATCATTAGAACTTTGAAAACAAAAGTAGTTAATAGTAAAACTAGAGTAGTCAATATATAACTATATAAAAGTAGTCGCTGAGAGTAAAGACAATATTGTCATTTCATAATGTTTTAAAATTCTAAAATAGTATAGAGGGTCTGATTTGGGTTTTTGTAATTCATCCACCTAATTTGTCCTCTATCATTTTTTAGGGTATTTTATTATCTTTTTTTTTTTCCAACTCTAATCTTAAGCTTGTTAAAAATTTATTTTGTCCCAATTCTATAAATTCAAGTGATAAAATATTGAGATAAATAAGACACCCAAGTGTAGTGAGTTTTTTCCCCCTTTCTATATGTAAAGATCGATTTGTTTATTTACCAATAAAACAGGAGAGAACTACATCCCGAAGGAATAATTTACACATCAGGGGACTCGCATTATTCGCTGATGAAAGTAGCAAGACTTCTTAGAGTCAAGTGTGTGGTAGTTGGAACTCTAATCTCAGGTGAGATTGACTATAACCAACTAAAGAAGTCACTTCTTGCAAACAAGGACAAGCCAGCCATAATCAACCTAAACATAGGTCTTTTGTCCTACTCTCTCTCTCTCTATATGTGCGCACGCGCGCATGAAAAACAATATATAATGGGTGTTGTCTTGCGGCAGGGACTACCTTGAAGGGCGCCATTGATGACCTGGATCTTGTACTCCAATCACTTGAGGACTGTGGTTTCACTCAAGATCGATTCTACATTCATTGTGATGCCGCACTATACGGAATGATGGTACCTTTCGATGTTCGAGTGAGTACATATATGTAACATGTGAAATGAAATACAAATATATATCCAACTAACATTATAACACAATTTAAAGTGCATGAGATAGAACAATATTATTTTGATTGCAGCTTTAGGTTGTACTGGAGATTAACATGACTGTGTTCAACATATACAACCACGAACCCGCACACACGGACTGGGGGTATTTTTTTTGTTACAGTTAGCTGCCTCTTAATTTTGAGGCCCTTCTCAAATTTTTTGAGTTTCTTTTTGTCATTAGATTCTGCATAAAAATAAATAACATTTTGATGGCTTATAAGCAAAAAAATTGTTCAATTTTTAAATGATTTTTGAAAGATTTAATACTCCAAGTAAAGTTTTAAAACATCACATTTTGAATGTACAGGCAGCAGATATTTCTTTCAAGAAACCGATTGGAAGCATAACTATTTCTGGACACAAGTTCCTGGGCTGTCCAATGCCTTGTGGCATTTTTATAACTCGTTTAAGACACATTGATTTTCTCTCAAGCGAAAAAGTAGAATACATTGCCTCAAAAGACAACACCATATCTGGAAGTCGAGGAGGCCATGCTGCCATCTTCATTTGCTATGCTCTCAACAAGAAAGGGTTCGAGGGCCTTCAACAAGAAGTTCAAGAATGCATCAAGAAAGCGATTTACCTTCGAGACTCCTTGAGATACCACGGCATTGGAGCATTGCTAAACAAGTTCAGCAACACTGTGGTGTTTGAGAGGCCTCAAGATGATGCGTTTGCTCGCAAGTGGAGCTTGGCTAGCAAAGGGAATATATCACATGTGGTAGTGATGCAACATGTGTCGCAGGAAATGTTGGATTCGTTTGTGAGTGAGTTTGTGAAGAATCGTTGTGCTTGGTACCAAGGTAATAATAAGCAAATGAAGCCTCCTTGCGTTGCTGAGGATATTGGTGCTGAGAATTGTGCTTGTGCTTTTCATAAGACGACGATTTCTTGGTAATACAAAATCAACATTGAAAGCTAGTCCTATTTTTTTTTAATTTCAAATGATTGTGTGTAACGTTATTTGTACAACCCCTAAGGTCCTCTAATTTGTTAGATCTTTGAATTATTTGAATAAAGAGCATATTTTATTGCTCTTTCTCTCTCTTAATTCCCTTCCCCTTGCTCTCTCTTCATTTTCGTTTGTTTTCCTCCCATTTTTTCTTCTTGTTTCTTTTGTGTTTTGTTATCTCTCCTTTCTTTTGTCGTTTTTGCACAGGTGGCAAGTAGTAAAAAGATATCGTTTCCTAAGAGACTATTGCCAAACAAGTTGAAAACCACAATTAGTGTTCTTGATTATGTTAAGTGATAAGCAAATATTTTATAATTAAATATATTACATTTTAGAATATATTTTGTTAAATTTATGAATATCTTATGCCTATTTAATTAACTTTGATATATTTTCCTCTTTTTAGTTAATTATAAGATTAAAAAGGAATCTTTTTATAAAATCTATTCAAATCCTTTTTATTTTGCAGGAGATATTATGAAGTATATAAAGAGAAGAAGGTGCCGTGGCCACTGAAGGAGGAGGAAGCAAATTAAATATAAAAAAAAGTAATATATCTACATTATATCATATGGGATAAGAGGAGGATAATCATAACTGGGATTTGGATTATATAGTCAGAGGGCAGAAGCACAACTCAAGCACAATTTGATTAAAAGAGGCCGTGAAAGATAGAGGGAGAAGAAGATGAAGAGGCATGTCATTAAAAGAGAGAAGAAAGACACATTAGCAGTAGTATTTGGACTTGTGATGTTGTAGATTATGAGTTGACTATTTATTAATTGTATCAACTCCTGTTAGTGTGGGGGTAGATTAATGTATTCTTCTAATAGAGACAATCATATTTGATACACTATTAATAAATGTTTGCATATTTCTCAGTAATGATCCAATTCGCCACTTTGTAAGGAGTTAACTTTTTTCATTAGATCCAACTCCCATTGATAACTATTGTTGGTATCTGAAGCATTTTTACGTAGTGCTGGACGTTATGAGCCCAATTTATCTCTAAACAAGACGCCCAGTATGAAGAAATAATAAAGGCCATATGGGCCAGCATATTGAAGAGTTAGGGGCCCACATTGTAGAAACAAAAGCAAAGTTGGAGTGTCTTTATTAGGATTTTAGTGATAATTTAGATTAGGTTTACATTTATAAGATTATTTCCCATTTAGTATTGTTTCTTATTGATATTATGAATATATTTTTTCTTTTTTGAGTTTCTTCCCTTTCTCCCCTCCTGAATTTGTCTAGTTGCTTGTTGCTTCCTCTTTTGCCCCCTCTATTTTCTCTCTCTTCCCTCCGTTCCTTTTTTTCTTCTTCTTCCGTTACTCATAGAAGAGGCTCTTGTACTAACTTTTCCTACTAATTTCCAGAATAATGCTTGCGAGTGGTGGAACTGAAGAAAATTTCCACAGGATCTTATTAGGGTAATGTACTAGATTTTCGAGTAATATAATGAGGGGAAAATTACCATGAGATCCCAAAAAAATTAATTATCAAAAAGTCCTAGTGACAAGTGAGCTGTTGTCATTTAGTATATTGAAACTTGTCATTATATGCTGCTATGTTTGGGAGTTTTTAGTAATTATGTTCTTTTCTTGGGACTTCATATCAATTTTACCAAATTATAATCCTCAGGTTGTTATAAATATATTTAGCCCCAGTTCTATAAATTCAAATGATAAAAATATTTTTGCAAAACAGGAGGGAACTATATTCTGATAGAATTATTTACACATCAGGGACTCGCATTATTCGGTGTTGAAAGCAGCAAGACTTGGAGCCAAATGTGCAGTACTTGGAACTCTAATCTCAGGTGGGATTGATTAACGAACTAAAGAAGTCACTCCTTGCAAACAAGGGCAAACCAGCCATAATCAACCTAAACATAGGTCCTTTTCCTACTCTCTCTTTCTCATTCTTTCTCTCTATATATAATGGGTGTTGTCTTGTTGTGGGGACTACCGTAAAGGGAGCCATTGATGACCTTAATCTTGTACTACAGTCAATTGAGGATTGTGGTTTCACACAATATCGATTCCACATTCATTGTGATGCCGCACTGTTTGGAATGATGGTACCTTTTGATGTTAGAGTGAGTATAAGTACACACGAAATGAAATACAAATTTCCAACTAACATTATAACACAAAATTTAAAGTAATTAACACGCTTCTCATAACTCTTATGATAAGTAACTTAATATATATTACCTCTATTCTTAATATGAGAGTTTATTTGACTTTTATTTTGGTCCTAAATATAAGATCTTAATTCACTTTGTCTCTTATATTTATCTATTTCTTTTCAAGATAGTTTTTGTAGTGATGATATTTCTGATTAATACAATTGATTAGTAAAGATATTTTAAAAAAGATAATACCTATTTATTACAAATAACTAATTTAATGAGATTTCTTAATATATTCAAATTAGTCAACTAGCATTCAGGACCAGAATGGTAGTACATCACATATTGAACGTACAGGCACCAAATATTTCTTTCAAGAAACCCACTGGAAGCGTTACTATTTTTGGCCTCGAGTTTCTGGGCTGTCCAATGCCTTGTGGCATTCTTATAACTTGTTTAAAACACGTTGATTTTCTCTCAAGGGAACAAGTGGGAATACATCGCTTCAGAAGACAACACCATCTCAGGAAGTCGAGGAGGCCATGGCGCCATCTTAATTTGGTATGCTCTCAAGAAGAAAGATTTCAATGGCCTTCAACAAAAAGTTCAGGAATGCATCAAGAAAGTGATCTACCTTCAAAATTCCTTGAGAGACCATGGCATTGGACCGTTGCTAAACAAGTTCAGCAACGCTGTCGTGTTCGAGAGGCCTCAAGATGATGTGTTTGCTCACAAGTGGAACTTGGCTATCAAAGGGAACATATGACATGTGGTCGTGATGCAACATGTGTCACTTGAAATGTTGGACTCATTTGTGAGTGAGTTTCTGAAGAATCGGTTAGTTTGGTACTGAGATAATAATAGGCAAAGGGAGCCTCCTTGCATTTCTGAGGATATTGGTGCTGAGACTTGTGCCTGTGCTTCTCACAAGATGTTGCTTTCTTCATATATAATACAAAAGCAACATTGAAAGCCAGATTTTTTACGTCTGTTAATGAGGCGACTGATGTAATAGGTCTACTTTTACATCAGATTTTTTCCATCATGATCTTTTTAAAGATTATTTTAAATTTAATTTATTTCAAATAATTGTATGTAGAGTTATATAAATGGCCCTAATGTGTCAGATATTTGGATTATTTGAATAACGAGTATACTGAGTTCTCTATCTCTCCATTTTGCCTGTCTTGCTCCCATCTTTTCTTTATTGTTTTCCTCTCCTCTTTCCTCTTCTCCCCTTTCATTTTTTTTTCCCACACAGCAATTTAAAAAGTCAACTAGTGGTAGCACTTAGAGCTTTAGGCACTACCCTAGGTGGTTTTAAAAAATGAAACACAAAAAATAATGAAAAGTTGTACTACAGCCCCCATTTTAATAAGATTTGCGGCTTTTTTTTTTTTTTTTGGATTACTTCATCCGGTATCCCAGGGTAATAGGCGTCTTTCAGCCGTGACAGCGACCCCAGACTAATCCGGATTCGGGGGCTTGCAAGGATCCTTTCAGACGGCGCCCCCTAGTCCCTTGGAGTGCTGCGTTCCCACGTCTCAAACCCAAGATCCGTGGTTAAGCTAGGACAGCCCCAGCCAGCTGACCTAACCCCGCGGGGTTTGCGGCTATTTTTTTTCAGTTCAGTGTATTTTTATTTTTGCGGCGGCTATTTTTCTTAGAAGTAATACCATGCGTAGACTACAAAAGCCTCTTTTTGTTTTTCTATAGTATTGGATGCGATGAGCCCATTTTATCAATAGGCCGAAGATGTCTACGAAAGAAGCCCAATATCAAGAAACAAAAAAGCTAATATGGGCCAGAATATTGAAGAGTTAAAGGGGCCCCCAGTCTAGAGACCACAATAAGGTTGGGGAGGGTTTGGTATACAGGGTTGTCAACTGGATCCGGATCCTCCCAGCGGCCATTTTCTCAGCGTCCGTCAGAATCTTTAAATCCTATCCATCCAATTCATCTAAGAGCTCACAAAAAAAGCTTCTGTAATCGCGTCTGGGCCATCACGTCCTGTTTGCCAAATTCATTCCACGGCCAACTCGTTGAAGTCAAACTCCTTTGGTGACCTAAACAGGGATTTCCAACGCAGATGGGAAGCTCCGTCATTACCTAATCTACCTTACACCTCTTCCTCTCTATCTCCGCCCTTCTTCTCTATCCCTCTCTTCCTCATTCTTTGACTGTTGAGTGCTTATAGTCAGGCAATCTCCATAGAATTCTTGTGAGGTCCCATCTCAGTGTTGCTGCTGCTAAACTTGAACAGGGGGATCAAAGCAAAGGGAAGCTCAAACGAAAGTATCATCTGCAGAACCATTTTTGTTATTATGAGTGGCCTTTGGGTTTTTTCTTTTAAGAAAATCGAAAAATAAAAGATTATCCATATTGAAAAAATTGGCTGAATGCTTTCTAATTATGTGAACGAGATTCGGTGTCTTTAGAGAGAGAATTTTCCAACATCTGGACAGGAGTTTGTCATTGGTTTTCTGCTTGATCTAGTGCAAAGTTTATCCTAAATTCATCTTCGTCTTTTGTTATGATCAATCTCTTCGTTCTACTTTAGTAATTTATTTCTCTAGTGCTCATTGATTGGACTTCTAGTTTCATCCGGTTCTGTTTTCTTTTCTGTTCAAACTAAAATCCATTCCTATAATGGAGATAAAATCCATTCCTATAATAGAGATTTTTTTTGACATTGGCTATTGAAAAGAAATCAAAGGTTATCATGTTTTATGGATAAAAGAAACAGTTTTTATCTGAATGTGTTTGCATTTGAGGCTCTGTTCGACTCTTAGCTACAGTTTGCCGGAGGTCG